CACAAAGATTTGAAGGAAGTAAAACAGCTCAATTAATTTTCTGGGAGAAAAAAAACAATGGCAGAAAAGGCTAAATATAAAAATAAAAAATAAAAAAGCTAAAGTTGCACCAATACCAAAAGTCACAGCAGGATTGTCCTTAAAGAGCTGAATGTTTTTATATACAAGTTGCTGAAACGGTTTAAAAATTGTGGGACGAGAATACATTTTAAAAAAAAAAAGATTTTTTTATTTTTTTAACAATCATGGAGCTTTAAACTGGTGATGAATGTAAAAACAGCTACCTGACCAGCCTGAATGATAATATATCACACTCGTATATATAAAAAAAAAAAAAAAAAAAAAAAAGAACATCTACAGAAAAAAAGGAGCAGAGAAAGAACTGGACATGAAAGGTTGTCAGAAAATGACAAAAAAAAAAGGGTGAGATTAAAGATGTGAGAGCAAGTGAAGGGCAAAGAGGAAGGAAAAGACGTGAATGGAAGGGCTGCTCGTGGAGTTAGCATCCTGACGGTGCAACAATGAAGCTTTTAGCTCAGTCAGAGGCATCGTGAGACAACACGGCCTCACGTATAACCTTTCACACACACACTTTTCCTGTGGCTCTCTTCTATAAATTACACACACAGGAAATAAGGTGGTGTGTATGTGGGCGGGGACAGCTCCCAGGGCATTACACACCTGGAGACCTTCAACTAATAAACCAGTAAAAAAAATAAAAAGATTAAGATAAACAATTATTGCTCAAGGATCTCCATTTTGCACAAACATCTTCCAACTGATTCTTATCTCAACTTCAACCACGTCCATCTTCAGTAAAGTCTTCTAACAGCACAGCCCGCCCTGAAGCTACACTCAGCTTTTAAAATACGCTACAACCGTTCCATTATTTTGTCGAGTCACCATTTGTGAGAGCAACCGTCTCCTTGATGCAATGCAAAAGTTTTTTTTTTTTTAAATCCTCTTAAATCCTGGTTTATATAATATATTTTTAAGCTTTTCCGTTCTCCTGACTTCACAGATGAAGGGTTTGGTCATGGAGCTGGTGTTTGGCATCAGCTCAAGTCCTGAATGCAAATGTTACAGTCCAGAAAGTGAAAGTAAAAATAGTCTGGCAACAACACAGGGACCTAATGCAAAGCTAACCTCACACTGACCCTGCTTTAACCCAGAGGCCTCGGCTGGTTGGATCATCCAACCAAACGTTCAAAACAGACTCAACTGGAACTCCTTAAACTTTATTAATGTCATGTAACCTTTCAAAATAATTTATATCCACGTTTTAAAATCTTGATTATATCCGACTGGTGAACTCTGCACAAGAACACTCATGTACCTGATCTTTATGTGAAAGCACCGGTGGCAAATAAAGACTCGGTCTATGAATATATGGTGTCGGCCATCTTGAATTTTGACCTGGCGACCTAATTTAGGAAAGGGATCTTTTTTACTCCTAGGTCCACACATCAAAATGAAAGTTGGTGTTAAACTTTTCATGCATCGCGCTCACGACATTCACAGACGGATGCACGATTTCCAATTCTCCCTTTTCGCTCTGCAATGGGGGACAACAAGAGCTATTTGAACACCTATTCAAATATTTTTCAATATTTTACACTAGGGATGCGTGATATTATCTGCATGGTATCGGTATCAGTCGATATTAGCGATAAAGTTAAATATCGGACATCCCATAATAAAAAATAAACTCAAAACAACCACTGAGGAAGGAGCAGCCGAAAGAACGTTACGTTTGTGTTTTTTTTTACATATTATAACAATTGTTAGATAAAATCAGGCGTTGGTAGAGATGAGCTGGAATTGCTAACCAGAGAAGGACTGAGCGAACGACACCAAAGTTTTCACCGATGTGAAGTCATCCATCCATCCATCCATCCATCCATCCATCCATCCATCCATCCATCCATCCATCCATCCATCCATCCACCTTCAGTCACTGAAAACCAGCTACAAGACCACAAGACCAAAAACAAAGTTGTGCAAACGCTGAAGCTACAAACAGCTGTAATGTGACAAACAAGCATTCAATCATCCACTAACTCTTATTCTACTGAACTCCACGCTGTGATGGACCAAACCACAGCCGTACACATCAACTCAGTCAGTAGCAAAGATCACAAACGGCTTTTAAATCACTGAAAATACCCAGAACACACAGACATAATGCGCTCTGGGTTATTGGGAGTGTTGCCGTTTCACAGTTAACATCTGTGACCTCTGCTGAACCATAATAATCTGATTATTAATCTGATTCTTCCAGGATGCTTCCCGTCTAATTTCAAGGTTGCCAGCGTACAGTAACCACAACAGGATGTCATGGTCCTAAACAGATTACACGGTCAGCCATGTTCATTTGAACAGACGTGCTTATTTGTTGCCCTTCAGAAAGAAAAAGACTAAAACTGAAGGAAAAATTAAAACAAGTCCTGCTTGAGTTGAGCAATATTTTACTGACAGTGTGGACATTCATGAAGCGTTCACACAACTCTGATCCATTTTTCAGCATCTTTTCTCGGTCCACAATTTTTGTGCCATTTCAACAATCGTAAATCAAAACGTTCAGCTCCTTCAGGACAATCCAGCTATAACTTTTGGTATTGGTGCAACTTTAGCTTTTTGAAATGTTTAGACTTTTCGGCCACTTTTTTCCCCTCATAGAAAATGAACTGAGTTCATTTTCATCCTTCTAATCTTTAGATCTGTGCACAACCTTTTACTGCTCCTTTCACATTTTGTTCTGCTTCAGCTTCTTTCAGCTTCCTACTGCAAAGTTAAACTTTTTTCAGCTACTTTCAGCTAATTTCAGCTGTTTTTCCTGCTATTCTGTGATCCTTTTCGATTCTACATTTTTGCTCTTCTGACTTCTTTCTGCTAATTTCAGCTTGTTATGCTCCTTTCAGCTTATTTATCCAAGTTTCAGCTTTTTCTGATATTTCAGCTAGTACTTAGTCGTTTTATGCTAATTTTAGATTTTTCGGCCAATTCCACTTTTTTTTTTTATACTCATTTAAACTTTTTTCTAATTCATCAAAAATGTGCTCTCTACTTCTTTCTGGTAATTTAAGCTTCTTTAGCCATTCTCAGCTGATTTTTGTTAATTTTGGCTTTTTTCAGATAATTTCCTAATCTGTTTTCTTTTGCTTATTTATACTTGTTCTATACCTTCAGCTAGCTTTTTAGCATTTTTAGCTCATTTCAGCTGTTGTCTGAATTCAAGTTTTTGTGATAATTTCTGCTTCTTTCAGCCTAGTTAACTTCTTTATGCCATTTTCAGCTTGTTATGCTCCTTTCAGCATTTGTCTGTTAGTTTCAGCTTATCCTGCTCTTTCAGCTACTATTTAGCTCTTTTGATGCTAATTTTATCTTTTCAGCAACCTCCACAGTTTTTAAGCTCAGTTCTTTCAGCATTTTTCTGGTATTTTAAGCTTCTTTCTGTCTTTTTAGCCACTTTTCAGCTATTTTTTTTAGCCAATGTCCTAAGTTTTGTGTTCATTTCTGAATATTTTAACCAAATTCATCAAATATGTGTTGTTTCTGCTTTCTTCTGCTAACTTAGGCTTGTTCATCTATTTCAGCTACATTTCAGAATGTTTTTAGCCAATTTCAGCAGTTTTTCTGCAATAAGCATTCACACAGGAAACGCAGTTGCTCTAGTTCTTGTTTACGTTGGAGTAAACCAACGTGATGATGAAACCACAGAGCACAAAGACGCTGAGCTTCAAGTCGACCAACAGTAAAAACCGACGCCGCCGCGTTCATCTCACGGCTCAGCAGCACTTTGCAACAAGTGCATCTCTTTTGAAAAACAGCTAAATAAAAATGTTTTCATCATGATGGAACAGTACCGCTTTGTTTCTGGAAAAAATTAGATCCATTTGTGCCAGCAACACTTTGAGCTCAGAGTTTCATTCCAACTGAGCGTTGTTAAATTTAAAGCTACCGTATTTTTTGCACTTTAATTCTTACATTTTCTCAAAAATTAACATGGAGCCTTATAATCCGGTGCAGCTTATATATTAATTCTGGTTGTGCTTACCGACCTGGAACTGATTTTATGTGGTTATTGTGAGCGAGTTGAATAAAGTTTGACTTATCGGACCGTTTTGTTTCGTTTAATTAATCCAGTGCGCCTTATAGTCAGAAAAATTAAGTAACAGTCTAAAGAGTTCTTTTCCAAGATGGTCCTTGTATTTTTGGACCACAGTCTTTATTTAATTGTAGCGTTTTGGCATCTCTGAATCAATATTTGAACATTGTGACGGTCCGGTGCTTCATGTTTGAATGCACCACACAGTCAGGTACAGAACTGAGCTCAGGTTTAAACGATTCAAAACTCTGTTCAGTGGTGACGCTCGTGTGTAAATTTAGAAACGGACGTTCGAAATACAGACATCTGGTGCCAAAGTGCAAGAACGTTTATCGACTTCGTTGACAAAAAACAATAAAATAAAAATTTTCGGACTATAAAGGTGCATTAAGCAAAACAAACATTTTGTCAGATTTTTGAGCACCGTGTAACATAAAATCGGTTCGAGATCATTAAGAACAACCAGAATTAATACACAAGGCTCACTGTCGATTTTTGAGAAAGCTAAAGAATTTTAAGTGCGCCGAAAAATACGGTATTTGCAAAATTCACATAGTTTAAACTTTTTTCAAAGTACAGTGGTCTCTGGTGGCCACTGTAAATTGGGTTAATTCCAAAAGTTAACCATTTGTCATAAACACAAGCAACAGCATTGTTGCCCACATTTCATGACACTTTTAGCTGATTAGTCGTTCGGGTTGTGTGATTCTCATGTCGTTTAGAAATCTTCCCCAGAATCCCGTTTTCAAAGACGTGAACTATTGCTTTAAAACAACTTTGGGAAATCGGTGAGAATAACGCACAGGTAAACGGTAATGTACACAAAGATTGTTTAGTCACGCTTTTCAAACGCATCCAGCCATGGAAGAGTGAGGTTAGGGCGTGTACTCACGTAGGAAATGTTTCTCCAATAAGGCAATCTCCAAATGACCTTTGACCTCACTGAGTCGCTCCGACTCGGACCTCTGGAAATCCTGGATGGCAGCTGCCATGGTGGGAGACCCCGAACCAGCCTGTGCACAAACACAAACGTTTACTCACAAAATAATAATAATTAAAATAAACAAAACTAGTTTCAGGATAACAAACAAACAAATCCCAGCGAACACACACGGGTCGGCCCGGTGCTGACTCACACCGACGCTCGGGTCCAGCAGGAGCGAGGGGGGACGACAAACAGGAGAATCCCCCTCTTCTGACTACGGCAACACGGATGACTCAAACGGCACAAACGGTTTTCAGCGCCGACGCACACGAGCAGCAGAACGACGGGGACTGAGAGATGTGGGTGAGAGGAAGCCGAGAGGGTGAGGCAGGGGGGAGAGGAGACGAGCACTGCAGGGTTAGCATCACCACTCGACTACAGCAGGGGTCCTTTAAGAGACTCCTGACACACACACATGCACACACACATGCACGCACTGCAGCAGCAGCTTATTCCCAACAACAGCCTGCGCTCCAGCGCCTCAAACTGACGTCTCTGCTGAAGACGGACGCAGGACAGGAGACAGACAGAGGACAGGAGACAGACACAGGACAGGAGACAGAAGCAGACAAAGATAAAAACATGGAGGCGTTGTAGGGAGGAGGAGGTTGGGGGTGAAGTTCTGCTGCAGTATCGGTCCTCAGGTCCTCCTCCGTCCCTTGGACAGGCGAACATGTTGACAATCAAACACCTGCAGGCCGTTCGATGCCCTCACACGACTCCGGCCACATAAGTAGGTCAAGCTCCGACGTCACGCTGAACGATTATCAGCTGGTTAATTATTCAGACACCCCCTCCCTTTCCTTTTCTTTACCCTTCAGCGAGACAGTCGGCATCCTGCTCCTCTCGTACGTCGACATTCAACAGCAACACTGTGCCATCACGCCCATTTTATTTCCTTGGTCTGTGTTCAGCGTGTGAACTGGATGCAGGCCTGCTGATCTATCCACCTGCCGATCTATCCACCTGCTGATCTATCCACCTGCCGATCTATCCACCTGCCGATCTATCCACCTGCCGATCTATCCACCTGCCGATCTATCCACCTGCTGATCATTAGATGCTCAGATTGGGGCAACAGATTTTCCAGATTGAGTTCTGGAGTTTTATTCAATCTTACTCAGTTTGTTCTGATCCAAGTATTTTTTTTTTTACCCTGAACTATCAGAGCAGCAGCTCTGGGGATTTTGCGACCCGTTGGTTAATACAATGAATATGCGCTTAAAATAAATATAATGAGCTGAAAGGTGAGCAGTCACATCTCAGGTGAACGACTGGTCAATGAAACAGTTAATTATGGAAGCTTTTAGGAATTCAACAAATATTGTGATAGAAATGGGACGTGGGACACTTTTATTTCTCCTCGACTTCCCGTTTGCCCAGTTTCTGACCAGTTCGGTGTGAAGGAGCTCGTGTCAAGGACCAGATTAAATCCACTCAAGGCAGGTTCTGTTTACCGAGCCACGACTCTCAGCACAGATCCAACAACCAGCTACAGCTTCAGGCGGCCACTTCCTGTTCTGGGCACGAGTGGGATTTTTCCTTTTTGCATGAACGTGGTCAGATTACAGCATAACATGGTTCCCCTCCGTACAGAAGTGGTAATAATCTGGGCCACGGGATCCAACATGCTTTGCACACACTACTCCCTCTGGGACCATGTGTGCATTTCGAGCCGGTAACTCCCGAGACGAACGACGACAGAATCACCAGTGAAGAGGTTTGTGTTTTCATGTCTGGAGATTATCAGAGATTAGTCGAACAGGTGCTTCTTTATGCTCTTGCACGTGTTCAAATATAAATGTTCAAATCTATGACCACCACAGCTAAACAACTATAACTGCATCAACTCAGTCAGTTTTACAAATACTGAGCTGAAATTTCAGATGGTAGTAGCTGAAAATCACGTGCACCAACAGATCAGTTGTAACACTTTAAAGATTTTAGGACAAAAAGATAGAACTCCATTAGTTTTTACACATACGATGGTTTTAAACTTTAGCTTTTTGAAATATTTAGCCTTTTTTTTTCCCCCTCATAGAAAATGAATTGAGCTCATTTTGCATCCTTCACATTTTTAAATGTGTTTACAACCTGTTCCTGCTCCTTTCACATTTTGTTCTGGTTCTTCTTTTAGCTTCGTTCTGCAAATTTAATCATTTATTTTGGCTAATTTCAGCCGTTTTGTGCTCCTTTCAGGAGCTTTCTGCTAACTACAACATTTTTGTGTTTCTTCTAACGTCTTTCTGCTAATTTCAGAGTGTTATGTTCAGCTTATTTCTGCAATTCTCAGCATTTTCTGCTGTTTCAGCTACTATTTAGCAGTTTTCTATGCAAATGTAAGCTTTTTCAGCTTATTCCACATGTTTCTGCACTCATTTAAACTTCATTCTGGTAATTTCTTAATACTAATATAATAATAATATCTAATATCTTTAATATAGAAGGTAATAGGTAATATCTTTCTACTTTTTAGCTACTTTCCAGCTGATGTTTTTGTGCCAATTTCAGCTTTTTTCTGATAATTTCCACCTTTTTATGCTCATTTCTGTTTCTTTCAGCCTAATTGGGAAAGTGTTTACTTTATGCTTTTTTCTGCTAATTCTACCTAGTTCTACCTCTTTAGCTAGCTTTTTAGCATTTTCTAGCTAATTTCAGCCATTTTCAGATCATTCAAGTTTTTGTGGTAATTTCTGCTACTTTCAGCCTAATTAACTTTTTTTTTTGCCAATTTCAGCTCGTTATACTCTGTTCAGCTTATTTATGCTAGTTTTAGCTTTTTCTGCTATTTCAGCTGTTAGGCTAATGTTAGCCTTTTCAGCTAATTCCACATTTTTTATTAGCTTTTTTCAGCTCTTTCTGCTTCCTTCTGGTAGTTTAAGCTTCTTTCTGCCTTTCAGCTACTTTTCAGCCATTTTTTTTTTGCTAATTTTAGCATTGTTTAGCTAATTTCCAAATTCTTGTGCTCATTTCTGCTCTTAAAACATAATTCAGCAAATATGATATTTGTGCTTTCTTCTGTTAATTTAGGCTTCTTCCATTTCAGCTGCATTTAAGAATGTATTCTAGCTAATTTTAGTAGTTTGTTTTTTTAGCAAGTTCTTCTGCAATAAGCATTCACACTGCATTTTCTCAGGAAATGCAGTTTCTCCATTTAGATCTTCAAGTTCTTCTGTCACTGCGACTCTCACAGCACTGTCAACATGCAGATCTCACACGGCAGCTGGAATATAATGTTTTGTTGCAGTTTTGACAGTAAATGTCAACGTACTCTGCAGCTCTGATATTTATTATTATATCAAAACGATGCTTGCTTAGGGTGATAATTTATAAAATAAAAATATTGTTTTGGATGATCAAAGCCACATTACATTTTTAGCAGAACAGTGAATTACTAAAGGAGAAGGTGAAGACCTGCTGATTCAACATGGATGACACAAGTCAGTTCATAAAATGAGCTCAGACATTCTGCAGCCGACGGTCACACGCTTTTAAAGCAAAGGTCATGTGATCGGATCCTGAAGGGTACAGAGACCTGGCGGGCTTTCAGAACCAGCAACAGATTTACACCAAGCAGCAGGAGCGTCAACATGCAGACGGCAACGGAGTCTTTCGTGCGTTTGCCTCGTGTGCGTGTGTTCAAGCAGAAATAAGAGCAGCGTCTTCTATTTTAGGGCTTCGGAGTGTGACTCATCGTTGCTGGGATGTGGGCGATCCCTTCCTGGTGGGCTGGACCGGAGCCCACGCAGACGTACGAGACCCATCTCACAGATTCAGGGTGAAGTCCGGTCCTCATCAGGACTCGAGCAGACTTTAGAGTAACGCAGGCAAATCCATAATAAACAGAGAGTCACAGTTTTGATCAACAATATGATCATTTCCTGTGGATTCGTTTCCCTCAGTTTCAAATGAGCCAACACAGTTCGAACGTCTGCGTGCGAGCGTCATGACGACGAGAACACCCGTGTTTTTATAGTAACAAGCAAGGACGTGCTCTTCCTTTGTAAATACCAGAGGGGAGGACACCTCAGGGTTCAATCCTCTGATGTTAAATTCCTCCTTTAATCTCTTCTCTTCCTTCATTTTTTTATTGCCTCCCTATCTAGCGTTTCTCCATCTCACCACTTCCTGTCTGGTCTTGACCGCAACCGTCTCCCATTGCTCCCCTCTGTCAAGACGAGGCCTCTCTGCGTCATGTTTGTTTACATCTCGGAGTTTACAGAGGTTTAAAAAAGAGCAGCGCTGATTTGTAGCTCGTTGAACGGAGAGGTCAAACAGAGGTCAAACGGAGGTTTTGTGTGCGTGGAGAGGAAATGATGCAACGTACTGCTGAGATAAGGGATTTTCTCTGGGCGTGGACAAATGGCTAAGTAAACATGAGGCAGAGACAGAAAGGAATCGTAGAGGTTTAGGACTCACAGGGTCTCGCAGGACCTCCTCCATGTCCCGCACAGCAGCAGACCTGGGCTTCGGCTGCACGTCGTCGTTACATTCGCCGTCAGAGGCGGGCGGCGACTCGCCCAGGTCCGGGAACTCGTCTCTCGTCCTGGGGCCTCGGAAGCGGATCTTGTCCAGGCGCTTTAGCATGGTCAACGCCGCGCTCCTCGGCTTTACCTTAACATGGCGGACGGCAACCCTGCGGTGCACAACAGAAAAGACAGGAAGTGCAGTTACTGCGAGGCAAGAGGTTTCCTGGGTGAAAACTGGGGATGAACAGACTCAAGTATCGGATCAGGGTCCCAATCAAGACGTTTTCATTGATGGCTCCAAATCCCTGCCGACGTGTTTGTAGATTAACGTCGGCAGCACTAAAGCGTTCTGATGTGCCAACACGTGTAGAACGGAAGTATTTTAACATAACGTATACTAACAGTTTAATCAGATCTGTAAAATCAAAACACTACTTGCTTAATATCAATGTCAATTTATTTATAGATAGCACATAAATATAACAAAAGCTGACCAAAGTGCTACAATTAACAGAAAACACAAGAAAGTTGACAATAAAATACGACAAGAATAAAAAGCAGCTCCGACTTGTTCTCGGACTCTGCGTGGATCAAACGCCGAGGAAAACACACGAGTTTTGAGCAAAGACCTAAAAGTCTCAGCGCTCTTTAAAATGACCGGGTTCCACGATTTCGGAGCAGCGACCGCACGTAGACCGGAGCGCTCTTACTGGAGTGTAGGTGTGAAGAAGATGGCACGAAGAAGACGGGGCCAGGCCTTTAAAAACCTGCAATAAAATCTTTAAATGGATCAGGAAGCCAGGACAGATAACCGTGAAGTTAGCAACACTTTGAGACAAGCTTCCACAGAAAGCTCCTCGCTGCAGACCAGTGGGTCCTAAACTTTACAGGTTTGCACCCCCAAAACAAAACTGGTAACCTTTGACCCCAGACTATCGCTAACTGCAGTGTGCAAACTTTTATAATCTAGTAAAGCACGCACTGGATTAAAGCTATGAAGTCAAATTCTTGACTCCAGATTGACCGGCGTCTTCACGACGTTGTGAAATATTCAAACTGATTAAAGGACATTCACTCGTGTGTGTGTGGAAGTTACAGACGTGACTGGGAGGTTCAAACTTCCTCCCTCTGAGTGGCAGGTTAATAAACACTTTCCTTCAGCAGGAAAGACACCCGTCAAAATAAAAGCTGTTCCCTGGAACAGAAACCCACGAGTCGGCTTTGAGCAGCTCAGTCACAAACTGAAGCCAACGAGCAGAAGATGAAGACGCCGCGGTTCTCCGCTTTACTTCCTGGTTTACATTGAATCCTTTCAGCATCAGCATCGTTTATTTACCAAATCAGAGTATTACAGGTATTACTTTTGGTTTTTACAACTTGTATCATCTCTGCAATTCTTGAACTGAGATTTCTTGAAAAATAAATAAATAAATAAAAAGACTTTGACATCAACAGACTTGCTTTAATTTCAGCTTCAGCTCATTTTAGCTCCTACTTTCTGTTTTAATTTTACATTTTAGCTACTGTTCTGCTAGATTTACCTTTAATCAACAGTTTTGATAAATTAAGCTTCCAGCTTCTGCCAAATTTTATTTTTGTTTAGCTATTTTTATGAATCAGCAACAGTTTATCTTCCGTCTACCGTTTTGCTAATTTAAGATTCTAGTTTTGTTCATTTTCAACGTTTTGTTTATTTTAATGTTTAGCTACTGTTTTTACCTTTTAGCTACGGTTTAGCCAATTTTGGCTTTCAGCTACTGTTTTTCTGATTTTACCTTTTAAGCTAACAGTTTTAGCTTTTAGCTACAGTTTTGGTAATTTCAGCTTTTAGTTTAGCTAACAAAAAAAAAAGTTTTTTTTTTTTTGTTTGTTTCTTTTAGCTACCATTTTGCTACTTTTGGGTTCCGGCTATCGTTTTATCTTCTCTCTTCCATTTAGCTAATTGAAGTTTTAGCTCATTTTAGCTGCTGTTTTAATATAGTTTTGCTTTAAATTGTAACAATTCCGTTTCGATCATTTAGCTTTCACACTAAATATTTCTTCACAGTTAATATTGTCGTTATTTAAATAAACTTAAAAACATGATTTTAGCTTCACAAAAAGCTGTTTAAACTCGTAAATAAAAACGTTAAATCTGGAACTTGTGGTTTTATCGTCCTCTCGTCGCTGAAGGCTTCTCGAGGCTGCTTAACGTTCATTTATGCATTTTATAAAGATTTCGTTGGCTTCTCCGGAGCAACTTTCCCAACACATCTTTAAACTGAAGGTGAAAGGAAGTAACGAAGAGGAGGATGAGGAGGAGGGTGCTCCAGATACACGTCTCTGTGACGACACGCCAACAAACGCTCCTCCTGAGTCACTACGTGGACGCCCTCACCCCATCGCCCGTCTCTGCTGACACACACACACACACACACACACACACACACACACACACAGATACTGACGCAGTCACGAAACACAACCGACGCGCAAAAAATGTGCAAACGTGCACGTTAAACAAAGACTGCAGGAACACGGAGGTGTCTGCAAAGAGTCGGGGCCGAGCAGCCGGGTGCGCCTCGGACACACGAGACTCTCCACGAGTAATCTTCGGCTAATAACCCGTGAAGCTCGGGGTTACTCTGGGGCACAGCAGCCAGTCACAGGAAGTCACTGAAGTCTCGCCGAGAGCTGGTCTGACCAAAACTGAAAACATTTTTAAATAGTTTGTTTTTGTCTTTTCAGAATATCAAACCGTCTGATTTTCGAGTTGTTGCAGTTTTAGTTAGATCTTGAAAATAAAGTTTTGGACGTTTGAATGCGGTATAGTGAGACGTTCCTCTGAGTACTTGTTGTGAAAGACTCTCGGCTACTACCACACCCAGTATGAGGTCAATATTAGTCATCAACATCGGATTAGAGTTTTAAATAAAAGCACTTAAAAGCATCAGATTCTGTGCAGATGTTCTGAATGGAGCCACTTGTTGCTCCTGGGGGGATTGTTTGTTTCACCGTGGAAACAACAACAATAAGTTTATTTGAACAACAAGCGAATAATAGAAAATAAATAGTTTTAACGTGCCGACAGAGCAGCTTTAGAGAACAAATCACCAAAACAAAGACTTCTGCAGCGTCTCGGCTCCGATGCAGGTTCCTCTCCTGCTGCTGAATCCCACGTAAGGAGATCCTGTCGTTTTATTTGATATTTTATTTTATATTTGTCCCTCCACGGTGCCGAACTTCTGCAGAGAGCTGAACTTCTGCCCCGTTTCATAACACACTCGGAGAGGGATTATTAAATAACAACTTTTGTTTGGTTTTACTTGAACACGTTCAGAAAGAGGCGAGCTGCGACAGATGGTCAGAACACAAAAACAAGAGGCGGCTGCAGATTATTAAAACGCTTAAATCAAACAAACAGCTTCAAACTCAAAGAATTGTGGAGGCAGAGCAAAGGAAAGGAAATCTAACCAACTTCAGATTAAACTAGAGAAACTGCACTTCCTGTGAAAACGCAGTGTTATAATGCTTATGGCGGAAGAACTTGCTGAAATGTAGCTAAAATGGAAGTACAAGCCTAAATTAGCAGAAGAAAGAAGAAAGAACATGTATTTGCCGATTTAGGTTTAAATAAGCTGAAATGAGAACAAAAATAAAGAAATTGGCTAAAAAAAAAAAGGCTGAAAATAGCAACAACAAAAAAAAAAAGCTGAGAAGTAGCTGAAAAGGCAGAAAAAGCTGACATTAGCATAAAGAAGTTAATTAGGCAGAAAGTGGCAGAAGCTACAACGAAAACCTTGAATTTATCTGAAAACAGCTGAAATTAGCTAAAAAAAGTGCTGAAAAAGGTAGAATAAAATCAAATTAGCAGAACAGAAAGAACACGTTTGCCCAGTTAGGTTGAAAGAAGCAGAAACGAGCATCAAAAAGTGGAAATTATCTGAAACAAATACAAAGTAATAAATAAATAACTGCAGAAAAGTAGCTAAAAAAGCATAAAGAAGTTTAAATAAGAAGGAAGTGGAGAAAGCACATTTTTACTAAATTAGGCTGAAAAAAGTTGAAAGGAGTGCAACAAATGTGGAATTAGCTTAAAAAGCTATAGTTAGCATAAACAGCTAGATAGTAGCTGAAATAGCAGAAAAAGCTGAAACTTGCATACAAAAATCTGAAAGAAGCATAATATGTTGAAATGAGCAGAAAGAACCTGAAATGAGCAAAAAAACAGCTGAAATTAGCTGAAAGTAGCTGGAAAAAAGTTTAAATTTGCAGAAGGAAGCTGAAAGAAGCTGAAGCAGAACAAAATGTGAAAGGAGCAGTAAAAAGTTGTCAACACATCTAAAGATTTTAAGGATGGAAAATGAGCTCAATTCATTTTCTCTGAGGAAAAAAAAAATGGCAGAAAAGGCTAAATATTTCAAAAAGCTAAAGTTGCACCGATACCAGAAGTCATAGCTGGATTGTCCTGAAAGAGCTGAACGTTTTGATTCATGATTTGTTGAAACAGCAGAAAAACGACAAAGATGCTGAAAAACGTATAAAAGAAAAACGGATCACAGTAATGTGAAAGCTTCAGAAGCGTTCATCATCAACCACCTCATCACGGTTGTTTTCCAGATATGCAATCTGGAAGGCAGGTACACTCAATGTGAACTGAACACTCACTGAATCAGCTAAAACCACAAATGAGGAACCACCTGAATTCTTGTTCCCTTTTTCAGTCTCTTCAGCCGTTGTAACAAACAAAAAAAACAAGCGTGAGGCAGTTGGTCCGGTCACAAAATTAAGGACACGTAATGAACCATCGATGTGAGCAGAATATAGCGCAGACAAAAACATCATGAAGACAGGGGGTGTCTTCATGAACCTTTAAACCAAGATTTTATTAGCATCCAGATTATAAGCTGGGGATGACTCTCAGTTGCTACAACGTTCAATTAGATTTCAAATTCAATTAAGTATGAAGCAACATTCAAACAGCGGCGTGTAATGAATGCAAAGTGCTTTTAAACCAATTAAAGACAACAACAAAGACGTAAACAAGAACAAGAGGATTTAAAACAGTGATAAGTTGTATGTGTGTACTATCGCATCGTTCACTATCAAAAGTTTCACATAGTTTTAGACAAATTAGCTAAATCAGAAGTCGTGTCTTGTTGCCAACATATATCG